AGGCCTCTCCAGGTCTACTCTCCCAAGCACAGATGACACCATCAGTGCAAACATGTCTAGACACTGGAGAGACCTAGAGGTCACACTGATCATACAAGGCCCTTCACAGAGGTAGAAGCAAAGGGGACAGGCAATGGCCCAAGATGGCTGTGCTATCTTTACCCATGCCACCATGTTCCAGTAAGACTTTGAGGAGCTAAAACCCGGCCAATTAGGTTATGTGAAGGGTATGTCAAGGCAGGAGGCTAGACCATATGTTAACAGTTTGTTAACTTGATTGATAATGGTTAAATATTTATACATACAGTATTGGATCCCTGTGCACTTGCCTGAGGCCTCTCAAATGTTCTGCACCATTGAACTCAGAGATAATGTGAAAGGCACCCATTAGTGAACAGGAAGTGGAAGTTGTAGATTCTTCAGTGTTTTGTATACTGTAAGCATCCCCTCCCTAGAGGGCAGTGAGATTTTCTATTGTTCAAAAATACACCTTCTTGGTGCCTACACTCAAGACAACTAGTCCGTCTCAAGCTCAACCAAAGAAAGAGCAACTTATTTTAACATAAAGGGGCTGGAGAAGAGGAACTGGCTGTTTGATGTGTTGACGTGCTGGGAGTACTTTTAGGGGTGGTTTAGGGATTTTTAAGCAGAATTTTGATTAAACATAACTTTCTACTAACCCAGTAAGAAGTGATTCCACCCTAGTCAATGTAACTACCTGCAGGCAATGTAAAGTATCACAAAGATCTACTTCCTTCTCAGTAACAAATCCTAAATGTAGCATTCTCATTATCAAGGAAGTCTTCTCACATAATCACAGAATTCTTGTTCATATCATCACATTAGACTATTTTTATTACTTCAGATTTCAAATGCAAACAGAATTCTGACTTATTAATGCATACTTAGGTTGACCTTCCTTTCTTTTCAGGTGACCCTGCCACCTCCAACTGCCCACCCTGACTTTTCTGATGTAAATAATCCTACATGTTCACATGTTCCCAGGGCTCATTTTATAAATTGTTGAAGCTTTATATCTCCAAATTTTCCATCTCCCTTTTGGGATTAAACGCAATGAGGATACACACATTGAGAATAATTCCTCTCAAATTTCACCCAGGACTCTTGTTAAAATGCAGAATCTGATTCAGTAAGCCTGGAATGAGGTCAGAGTTCCTGTTTTTCTTACAAGCTTTTAGGTGATGGCAATACTGCTGGTCCTTTTTTACCTACTATAAAATTTCACCAGGGACTAATTTAATTTCCTGCTTCTTTCTATGTCAAACTCCTACCCAGAGGTGATTATTTTTTGAGCTGTAAATATCATGCTAATACTGATATCTCTTGATTTTTTTTAATTTTATGTGTCTAACTTCTGATTTTCTATAAAAGATTAATCTATGTCTTTCTTATAACAGGTCTCCATACATAGAAATTCTCCCCCATCTTCACAATATCATTATATAATACATTTTCATTTACTCAATGTATTCAATGTTTACCTTATTATGATTATATAAAAATTGTTAACAGCGAAGCCATATAGCATACTATGATTGTATTTCCATTCTTGTATTACTTTTTGTTTTCTCTGGATTTAATAGTTTCCCTGAGTTTTTGATTTGATTAATTTATGTACCTGTCACTAATTAAACCCCAAACTTTCCATCAGAACAAGAAAACTCCTTACAATTTAGTCAAACATGTCAATCTATAAGTTCCTTTCTTCTTTTTTTCTTGGCAACGTCACTCTGGGAGCCCTCCATCTTCTGGCTCCAGTCCTGGCTACTTGCCCTCTGATCCTGTTGTGCAATCGTAGGGTTGTGGCTTTTTGTTTTTTGTTTTGTTTGTTTGTTTTTGAAACTCCCTTTCACCGTTATCCTAGGGAGTCCCACCCCCTTCTCCTGGCTGGGTTCATGTCTTCCTCTTTCTTAGGTTACTGTCTCCTTTTTATTAGAGAGACTCTTTCAGTAGTTTCCAAAGAAAAAGTACTAAGAAGCCAAATTTCCAGAGGCCTTGCATATCTGAAAACGTTTTTCCCATTCATAGTTGACTGACAGTTTGGCTGGATATAGAATTCTGGGTTAGAAATCATTTTTCCTCCGAATTCTTAAAGCACTATTCCATTGTCTTCTACTTATCTTGTATTCTGATTCTTAATCATTTATAAATGCCTTTTTTTTCCTGCACTCCTGAAACTTTTAAACTGGTTTCCTGCAATTTTACAGGATTGAGTTTCGGTTCGGCTCTTCATTTATTTATTGTGCCAGCCATTCATGGGTCCTTCCAATTTGAACACTCATGTCCTTTAGTTTGAAAAGTTTTGTCGTATTCTTCATTTTTATAGACTATTGAAAACACGTAAAAACATAAAGAATAATAGCATGAACACCCATCAAACAGCTTAAAAATTCAAACTTTGCAAATATAGTTGAAGACACCTGGTACCCCACCCCCCACCTTTAATCCGTTTCTTCTCTGTACCCACCCACCTCCCAAAAACCATTGTCTTGAATTTTGATGTTTATTGTTTTCAAGAATGCCTTTATACTTTTTCTATGAATGAATATGTTTCTATATACTTTATATTATTCTGTATTATAAATTCGGATTTTACATAAATGGCATCCTTATATATATATTTTATCACAACTTGCTTTTCTTGCTCAACAAAATATTTTCTGAGACTCATTTCTACATTGATTCATGTTGCTGTGGATCATTTATTCCAACGCTGTATAGCTTTTTGCTCTATAAATATACACAGTATAGCTAGCTCTTCTCCTACTGATGAATCATTTTATCATTTTAAGCAGTTCTACTATAAACATTCTTCAATTAACATTCTTCTACATGTCTTTTTTTAATATGAGTGTAAAAAATCTTTGACTTATATATATTTGGTAGCAGATGGGTCAGAATCAGATGATTCAACAAGAATTGTTATGTATAGGTAATGTGCATCTTCTACTTTTCTAGACACTGAGGAATTGTTCTCCAAAGTGATTGTAGCAATTGCATAAGTGGTATAAGAGTTACAATTTGTTTATGTCTTTGATATTTTCTCTGCTCCATTTTCTCTGTTCTCTTTCTGGAACTTGTGTTAGTTTGTTGTTGCAGTTCATGTATAATTCTTTATTTGCTATCTTTTCTATTCTATTTTTGACATCTTTGTGGGGGTTTTTTGTTTGTTTTACATTCTGGGAAATTTCCTGTACTCTGTCCAATCTTTTTACTGACTTGTCTATTTCTCTTATTATATTTTAAGTGGTTTTGTTCTTTTTAAGTGGTTCTTTATTCTTTTCGGAATGTTTCTTACAATAATATTCTATTCTTGTTTCACTGATGTAATATTTGTTTTATATAGTTTTTAAAAAGTGTTTTAATGTCCATTTTCAAATATATACAGAAATAGAGGGAAAATACAATGAATGGATTTAAGCATCACCTAACTTCAACAATACATACATTTTTCCTGGAGTTCTCAAATTCTAGATAGTACAGTATAATGTAGATACTTCAGCAGGAATCTTTAGAATATAAGAAATGTTTAAACCTAACCACACTACCCTTATCGCAAAAAACAAAATAACATTTTTTTAATCCTGACTTAATAAAATCCTATTTTTTGTTCAAATTCCTCCATTGTCTCAAAAAAGGCCTTTTGACAGTTGGTTTGTTCAAATCAGTATCTAAGCATTATCTTCTCATTACAAATGGTTGAGGCCCCTTCAACATGCCATATATTTATTGAATAAACTGAGCTGAATACAGTAGACTTTTTTCACTGTTTTTTTACTCTTCTTCTGCTTTTTTTTTTTTTTTTTACATTTTGCTTTTCCTCTGAGTTTTTTGTTTTTGCATTTTCATTTCATGTGAGAGGGTTTGTCAAATGCCTGATGATCATTAGCTTGCTGTTAATCATTAAGAGAAGGGCACTGAAAAACTGCCTGAAAACTCTATGTGCATGCTGGGAACTGTAGACTTAGGGTGATTATTAGAATCTGGCTGTTTCAATGGGTTGTTGGGGGACGGTGGTGGGTGTAGAAGGCAGCATCTGTATGTTACCTCCCTTGGTCTGGCAAACTTCCCAGATAACTTTCCAGGAGCTTTTAAGTCTGGCTCTAGGTGTCGGAGAAGGGGCAAACATGGGCTTCACTGTACATTTTCACAGGACCTTCCTCTCTTTAGCACACACAGCACCTAACCCCTGACTGCAGCTTGACCTTGTTCCCAGAATGTAGAGAGCCTCTCTAATTACTCTGACTCATCTGCTCCAAAGAGCAAACCTCCCTCCTGTGCCCAGGTCTGGAGGGGTGGAGACTTCACTGCCTGAGCTGGGGCTCTTACAGCACATCCTGGTCTGCAGTCTTCTTTTCTGCAGCCTCAGGGTGCTCAGTGCTTTCAACCCCTGTGTTCTTTCTTCTACCCTCACTCTACACTCCCCTACTTTTCACTCAGGGATCTAGATTACAGTTTTACTTTATTGGAAAGTGAATAAAACTCCAGTTATTACCTTATTGGAGTGTCTGGAGGGAACAGAGGAAAATACGTATACTCCACCTACCATGTTAAACCAGAAGGAGGTCTTGCATTCTTTTTAAACAGATTCATTGTGACACTAAGACTTGTATCTGTATATTTATGCATATATAGATTGCTTTTATTAACATTTGGTAACTCGAAAGGACCAATTTTCAAATATTAAAATAAGGAACAACTTGTCTAAATTTCAATGGAAAAAAACTATGCTAGAATTTTTAAAGCCAGAAATTATCTTGTTTTGAAGACTTAAAATCATTCTGTTTGGGGAAATGAAGATTTTCCAAACTGTATATAACTTTTAAATCAATAAGAGGGAATGTTCAATAGTAGAGATGGCTTGGGGGCATTTACTTTATTAATTTATTAATAAATGTATTAATTTATATAGAAACAAGTCTTCTATTAGATAGTGAGTATGCATTTGTGAGGTAACAATGTATTTCTTTCTCCCTTAGGGCTGTCACATGGTGACTGAAGAACTTCATTCCATAACCTTTGAAACACAGATCTGCCTCTATGGTCTGACCATAGATTTGGAGGTAGGTGTTTCAAGAACATACACCATTTACTCATGGTATTTGCAGGAATTGATCAGCATTAATAGATGTAAGTTTGGTTTTTTCTAGGTTTTAGTACATTCCCTATTCATTACTTTTGTTTTAATTTAGAAAATCAATATGTCAAATATTCACTAGTTAACATAATAATTTGGTTAAATATATATGATAAAAGCTTGTGGGTAACTGGGTGCTGTGACTCACACCTGTAATCCCAGCACTTTGGTAGGCCAAGGTGGGTGGATTGCTTGAGCCCCGGAATTTGAGACCAGCCTGGGCAACAGTGCAAAACCTCCCATCTCTACTAAAAATACAAAAGTTTGCTGGGTGTGGTGGCACATGCCTGTAGTCCCAGCTACTCAGGAGGCAGACGCAGGAGGATCAATTGAGCCCAGGAGGTGGAGGCTGCAGTGAGTAGTGATCATGCCACTGCACTCCAGCCTGGGTGACAGAGTGAGACCCAGTCTCAAAAAAATAAATAAACAAATAATAAAATAAAATAAAATAAAATAAAAAGTTCAAGGGTATTATGAACTTTATATACATTAAATAATTTGTTGCTCAGGTTCTTCTTTGTTTGGTTTTCTGGGATTTCCTGAGTCATGAACACTCAGTGGAAAGTCTAAAGAGGAATAAGTATCCTTGAACTTATGTCATGTAGTGATATATTTTTTTGTAGTAATATATTTTCAAAATTTTAACTTGTACATAAAAACTCACAGAAGATTTCTCTAACATAATGAACAAAGACAAATAATAGGAACATTACAGTGCGTTGCTTTGATCCTCGTAAAACAATCACCACTAAAAGAAAGAATAAAGAAACTTTTGAGATTAAATTGAGCATTAATTGACTATGTGCTCCTTGAGGGCAGAACACTATGAATGAACGAGTGCATGAATAAACAAACACAATCTCACACACCCTGAATATGATCCTATTGTGGAGTATATTCTTTTAGAATTCTGCCTTTGCTCTTTTATCTTAATGATGGTAATATGTTTTTAAAATCTTTCATAAATTCCTTCCTCATCTCCTTTCCCTAAACCTCTGTTTTTATGAGTTGTTAAATTTCCTCAAATGGGTATTTTACCATCTATAGGAATCTAATGTCTGTTGTTGGGGAAAGACTACTATAAGTTGATTAGTTTCCCAGGCTAATTTGTAAAAGCCTGTTCATTTCATAAAGTAGAAAACCACGGTACCAAGAATACTAAATTGAGTTAGTTCTGTAACAATAGCACAGACGGCTCTATCACCCATAGCTTACATCTCCTACTTTTACAATAGAAACCTCCCACTTCCAGTGTTTACGTTAATTAGGTGTTAGGTCGTAATTTGAAGATACCGATTCATTCCAGAGAAAAACTTAAAATAGATTCTTTAACTTATAAAGAAGATTGTTGCTAATTCAAAAGACTCTCTAATACATTGCACTTGAGGCAGCAGGTGACATTTAAAAAGTATAAACATGTCCACGATGTCAGGGGAGATACTGGGAAGCTGCCTGACTGAGCACTCTGAAAGGATTCCTGCTCTTTCCTCTCTGTGCCCTTACTCATGCATGCTCAGAAAGTTCCATGGCCTTCACAAGTCATTTCAGTGACCAGGGCAGCATGGACATCAGGACCAGAGGCATGGGACTGGCTTGAGATTGGCCCTTTACAGGCGAGGGTCAAGCATAAGATCAATGTAAGGTGGGACTACCTGTAATAACTATGCTCTTTTTCCCCCAAACCAGACCAGCTCATTGCCTGTGGTGATGATTTCCAACGTCAGTCAATTACCTAATGCTTGGGCATCCATCATTTGGTACAACGTGTCAACCAACGATTCCCAGGTAGACTCTATTTCTACCTCACCTTCTTTAATTCTATTTGATTTGTTTTATTGCCAAGAAACACATCTGCATCAAAACATATGTATGCCGGTGGGGTGTGGGGTGAGAGTTGCTTTATTTCTAGTTGTGTGTTTCCTCTCATGTCATATTTAAAGTAGTATGTTCTGATGTATGTGGTCCCTGAGAGAGTTCTGCTAGCAAAAGTAACAGACAGGTATTTATTATTTCTGAGGGTCTGGTCAGCTCCCAACTACGTACGTACCAGAGAGTTCCAGGGCCATCCTATGTCTCTGTTAACTAAGCTGAAGGAAACTTCTTACCTCCTCAGCTGCTCTGGTCCCACCTTGTCCATACAGTCTCTTCTATGAAGGTAGAGAATTGGTTTCCAAGTAAGTAATTAGAATATTCATCAATCTTGCCCAATTGTATTCTGACAGCACGCATTTTCAAGTCGATTGCAGATTTCATCCATCCTAGGCTTAAGCTGGGATTTAATGCCATCTGGTGGTTGTAACACTGGCCCAAAATTGGCCTCAAGTCACAAAGCAAGCCGTGAATAGATGCTCTTATAAGACAACCAGGGAAGGGAGTGGCAAAAAAGATGAGTCAGCACTTCCCCTTGCACCCCTCCTTCAAAACCTCAGTGTGTTGTCCTGGAAACCACTAAGGTCTAGAGAAAATAGGTCAGATGTAAATAACAATATTTCTTCTTAATTCAGAGCAAATGTTCCCTCCAAAGGGAAGAATTCTTCTACTTTAGATCCCAGTAGTAAGAACAAGATCATAATGAATCAGCTTAGTGTTCTTTCCCTTTGATTCAATGTTTCTAATAAGGAAATGACTCAGCCCTACTCCTTCTCCTCCTCAAGTGCCCTAGCATCTGAGACAAATTAACTGCAGAGAGGTAGACTGTGCAGGGTGCCCCGAAAAGAGCAGAACTTATCAGAGAAATGGCCTGGTCTTTAAGGTGAAGGACAGCCAATGCCCCTGAGATTAAATGCTGATCTCCATTAGATCAACACTTGTTCAGCTTTCTTCCAAATCCGGGGAGTAGGAGTGATGGGATACTTCTCCATCCTCCAGCCTCACAGAGCAGTGCTGCACTTAGCTTTCTTCAGCAACCTCCTTCTGTAAGAAAGTCACCAAAATCATCACACTCATCATCCCAAATTTACATGGCTCTAGGATGAGAATCTAGAACTATAGATAACATACAGCTCCTAAAACACAGATTCACAGCCTAGTTACAAAACCAGTCTGAACAACTAATCCTGGTTTCTCCTCTTAATTCTATCCTGCTTTGAAACCTAAGCCCTTAGGCCTTGATTGTATTCTGTGCTTTCTGGTCACTTTTCCAGGCACCATTCTCAGGTTCACAAAAAAACCATCTCCCGAGAAATTCTTTCTCTTCATTCCTCCTCTTCCTATTGCCCATTCCTTGTTGGATGCTGTGTCCTCTTTTATTCCCGCCTTCTGAAATCTCTTGAATTGGTTCTTTTTCTTGATTAATCTAAGCCCAGTTTAGCTCATGTTCACAACAGCCTTCTCCAGGCACCGCATTGGATTTCTGAATTCTTCCTTTCCTCTTCTTGAAACACCTTTCTTTTCACACATCTGTTTTCCAGTAATCTGTGACAGAGTCTTATGTTTCACTATTGTTGACCCAGTTTCTGGCACAATCTCGTTTGTAGTCGATCACACAGAATATTCTCTTATTTAGCTTGGCACAGTGGTGCACACCTGTAGTTTCAGCTACTTGAGAGACTGAGGCAAGAGAATTTCTTGAGCCCAAAAGTTCAAGTCCAGCTTGGACAACATAGCAAGATCGTTTCTCTGTTTTTTGTTTTGTTTTGTTTTGTTTACGTAGAGCAAATAAGAAAAGACTACTATGGTGTCCATAAAACAGGTATTTGAGGTTAATCATAATATTGTAGGGTCACCTTCCCTAGCCTGGGACTTGACGGTTTCTAGCACTTTGGGATGATTGGTCTGGTCAAGGTAAAACTTGTGCCAACCCCATGATAAACCAATTAAATAATATAAGTTTTGTTTAGGATGAATATTGTTTTAGAATAGAGTATCTGTCAAATTACTTGTTGGACAGTGTTAAGTACCTGCATGAGTAGACTGATACGGAAAAGTTCAAGAGATGCCAAGTGATGCTTCTGAAGAAAGATGGAACTCTGATTATATTATACTCAAAGAACAGGGAGACTTTTAGGAAAAGACGATGTCAGTCTTAAGAACAACAGAGATGAGATGATATTTTATACTTACTTAGGTTGGCCAAAAGACTTTAAATTAGGAATCCTATATATTGAATTACAGTGTCATAAGCGTAATTGTTATTAGTGGTGAATGTGTATGGATCTGCAGCAACCTCAATTCTTGCCTCAGAAGAAAGAATTCAACTGAGGAGCATAGGACAGAAGGAGTGACCAAGGCAAGCTTCAGAGCAGGAGTGAAAGTTTATTAAAAGCTTTAGAACAGTAAGAGAAGGAAGGAAAGGAAAGTACAACTTGGAAGAGGACCAAGCGGGCAACTTGAGAAGCCAAGTGTGCAGCTTGACCTCTTGATTTGGGCTTGGCATTCTTCAGGGGTCTTGTGTTACTTCTCCCCACACCTGAGATCTTACTGGGACGCTGCTGAGCAGTTTTAGGTGTTTTCTATTAGAACACGGTCTTTCCTTGGCACCAGCTGTGACCAATTATGACTTTAGAGAAACAGTTAACAACTGCCTGACCATCACCTAATGGTCACCCAACATTCCTAGTATGTGTGTGGGGAGACGGGGAGACCTCTCTCGCCCTGCTCACTAGCTACCCACTGTAAGATAATTAACAAATCATCATCATGATTCTATTTCAGAACTTGGTTTTCTTTAATAATCCCCCACCTGCCACATTGAGTCAACTACTGGAGGTGATGAGCTGGCAGTTTTCATCGTACGTTGGTCGTGGCCTTAATTCAGATCAACTCAATATGCTGGCAGAGAAGCTCACAGGTGAGAGCTGGTAGACAGACAGGATTCGCCTCTGTTTTTGGCACTCAAGCATTTTAAATAACCGGGACGCTATTACTACTATTAATAATAATGATGATCATCATAATTTATTCAATGCCTACTATATTGCCAGGCACAGAGCTAAGTGTTATATTATTTTTAATCCTCGGGAAAGTCCTGCAAGGCTCACCTTATTCTATCAATTTTATAAATGACTGTATTAGAGTGCAGAAGTCAAGTGACTTGCCACAGCTGCATGGCTAGTACACAGCAGAACCAAGCCGCAGGCCAGACCTGTCCAGGTCTAAAGCCCCTCCCTGTCTATTCCCCACCCCAGTCTCCAGGGTATATTTCCACTAAATATGATGTGAAGCCTTAATGGTGCCCCATATGATCATTCATATGAATGTCTCAACTGACATAAACCAACTGGAAAATGACTGATTCCTTCACTAGGTCTAGGAAATGTAATAGAAATTTTAAACCACCTGGGCAATACTTAATTCTGCATACCAAGAAAGTTTCAGCTTTGACTGAGATTTCTAAAGTTTGCAAAATAGAGTCATTGGTACTACATGTACCAACTATAATCCAAACTTTTTCTAAAAAATCTCTAAGAAAGCTGTATTTTGACAAGTCGGGGTTTAACATATTTAACACCAAAAAAAAGAGTTAAAATTAGATCTATATGCATTTCTAGTTAAATTAGGGCCAAAGATCCATTTGTGCAGCAGAAGTAAAATCATGTGTGATTTAAGCTTGACTCACATGGTGCTGGGATGCTTGCCACTTGCACCTACTCTTGGATCAATGGGTACTTAATTAAATTAGGATTTCGGAAAACATCACAAAATTTACTTAATGGAAATACATGTTTTGATCCTTATTTAATTCATAAGCAGCAATAGTAGGCATTCAATAAATATTTGTTAGAGTGAGTAAAGCTTTTAAGCATGTAGTATAGATAGCAACCGTATCCTTTCAGACCTTTATCAAATTATTCTTATTCTTATGAGTATAATTTCCTTAAAAATTTAGATGAAAATTCTTGTGTCCTTTCACTGCTCTGGATCAAAACAGCCAATGGCTACTTATTGTCTAATAGATTTCTAGTCCATTCTTTCCATCTTAATAGGCAACATTCTTGGTAATCTAGCTACACCTAACTTACACAAATTTGTTTTATAATGTTCATTTACCAACATTAGGCAGCTCTTCCTGTCTCCAGTATAAGCCATGTCCATGTCCATCATGCCTTGTCCTATATTACTCTTGCTCTCTGGAGTGGCCTCGTTTGTCTCCTCTGACAATTTATATTCTACCCATCCAGATCCTAGATACCCACCTGCTTTCTAAAGCCATTGTTAGCTCCTCCACCAAAAAGCTTATTAGCTAGATAATAAACTTCTTAGGAGCAAGGATGATGTCTTATATTTGTACTGTACCTAGCACTCAGTACATTGCAAATCCATAACAGGTGCTTAAGAAATGCTTGAAAGGGAAGAAGAAAAATATCTAAATTGAGCACTAAATTGAAGCATCTCATTGTCAAATGAAAAATCTCATTCTTTTCTTTCATTTCAGTCCAATCTAGCTACAGTGATGGTCACCTCACCTGGGCCAAGTTCTGCAAGGTACAAACAGTCGGGGAAACATCATTTAGATACGTTTGTTTTTTAATACAATGTTCCTAAGTCTATATTACTACCTGGGGTTTTGAGAAATTCACAGATAAGAATTTTTTTTTTTTTTTTTTGAGAAGGAGTCTCGCTCTGTCGCCTCCCGGGTTCATGCCATTCTCCTGCCTCAGCCTCCCAAGTAGCTGGGACTACAGGCACTCACCACCATGCCCAGCTAATTTTTTTGGTATTTTTAGCAGAGACGGGGTTTCACCGTGTTAACCAGGATGGTCTCGATCTCCTAACCTGTTGATCTGCCCACCTCGGCCTCCCAAAGTGCTGGGATTGCAGGCGTGAGCCACCATGCCCGGCCAAGAATGTTTTTTAAAGAAACTAAGGTGTTGTCCAGTTTCAGGATATTATTTTGTTGAAAAATTGAACTTAGATTATTATATCAGCATTATTACTTAAATAACCATTGTCTTAATGTGCTTGTTTATTCCTATAGGAACACTTACCTGGTAAATCATTTACCTTTTGGACATGGCTTGAAGCAATATTGGATCTAATTAAGAAACACATTCTTCCCCTTTGGATTGATGGGTAAGTTGCAGGCTATATTTTTCATATGAGTGAATTATGTTCTTTTTTTCTGTTGTTATTGGTTTTCTTCTACTTCTTTTTCTCTAAAGCATGTTTAGTACCATAGAAAAAAATAGTTGCAATTTCTTATTCGTGGAGTATCACTATGTATATTAATCTACATATGAGTATTTCAGGTGAGAATGACTTTTGATTACACTCAAAACAAACTGTAGGTCTGCTCTTTGTAAATGCAATAAGTGAAAATCCAATAATGATCAGAAAAAAATCATGCATTTCTATTTTTAGGTATGTCATGGGCTTTGTTAGCAAAGAGAAGGAACGGCTCTTGCTAAAGGATAAAATGCCTGGCACCTTTTTATTAAGATTCAGTGAAAGCCATCTCGGAGGAATAACTTTCACCTGGGTGGACCATTCTGAAAATGGTATATACTCACTAATGTTTATTCTTGTGAAATTAGTTTTCTTAAATTTAGTTACTGGGATTTCAGTTTTTGGAAGTGTATGGTGTGTTGATCTATTTGTGATGTATTCAGTGGGCTTGAATATTAGTAGTTGCAGTTGTCTCAGAACAGGGTACCCATGAATTCCAAAAAGTCTATCGTATGCACAATCTATACTGTCCAGGCAGCAGACGGTCTGCCATTGAAGTGACATGAACTGACAAGTCACTCCAGTGGCATGAAGATAATGTGGGCAGGGAAAAAATGGTCACAAGGACTGTGTACAGGAACCTGTATATTTCTCCAATTTCTGTTTTTCAAGGGGAAGTGAGATTCCACTCTGTAGAACCCTACAATAAAGGCCGGTTGTCTGCTCTGCCATTCGCTGACATCCTGCGAGACTACAAAGTTATTATGGCCGAAAACATTCCTGAAAACCCTCTGAAGTACCTATATCCTGACATTCCCAAAGACAAAGCCTTTGGTAAACACTACAGCTCGCAGCCTTGCGAAGGTTAGGTTTTTCTGTTTTTGTTTTTGTTTTTTTTCCTTAAGATTTTGGAAAACAACCTCATATTGGAGCAAAGTAAATGATAAATGAAGTTCCTCTTTTTGTTTACTCTGATGTTTGTAAGATCTGAGGGCATATGGAGGTCAAAGCCTTAGAAATGAAGCGGTATGTCAGCAGCTCCTGAAAAGGGACCGCTGGGCTTTCTAGCACTAGCAGAGTAATAAGCAGCTGCAACTAAACTTCACCGTGGCCATGGGGGCCTCTCAAGGTCACTCGGAGAGCTTCAGTTTTCTCCTTTGTAAGACAGAAGTGGTGCAGACTTCACGTCTATGACTGGGGGAAAGGAAAAGAAAGAGGGGGTAATGATGAGAAGCTTTTAATAGTAAAACAAGTCTGTATATTACAAAGGAACCCCAGGGTTTATAAGTTTTATATTTTCAACCATACTTTAGTTTTACAACTCAGGGTATTTGTTCATTTGCTAGGGAGGGACCTGTGGATCTGTGCTTCATCCTCTCCCTCCCCCACTCACCCAGCCAACCTTTCCTGGTTGTATCCTAAGGACCTAGACCAATGTCTGGCCAAAACAGGCATTCAGTAAATATTTGTTGAATACATAAAAGAAAATTCGTTAAATTGCTATGTAATTTTAAGGTACATTCATCATTCTGTTTCTTTAATGGAAGTGTATACAATCCATAGAAATCTTCATCTATAGCACTAAATCTTTGGGCCCCATCATGCAGAATATCCTACAGTTGTCACTCACAGACTCACAGCCACCTGACTTCATGCTCTCTGAAATAAACAAAAATGCAAAAGAAGAGAAAAGCAAACAAACCTGTGACTTCTCAGTGACTTTCAACAACTGATCGAATGAAATAACAAATATCAATGCAACAAATTAGGGTTGGAAAATTGGAACAAATTTTCAACATGGTATACCAGAGAAGTTTGGGGAATTTTTCCAAGGTGAGGTTTGCATATCACTGTTACTACAGCACAATGATACTTTCGGGAACACTGATGTCTGTACTTCAAAAACATTTGCAATCATAAGGTTCTGACTGGTGTCCATTTAAATGAAAAGAACTGGGTTATTATATCCTCCAAAACATGACTCAATCAGTCCTTATAATCAGACGTAAATGAAACGCAGAAGACAGGTCATACAGCTGATTCTCAACTTTTCCCATACAGTTTAGAGGCATTAATATACGAAGTCAGATTAGGCCTGCCAAGAGATTTGTTTTTCTCTTCTTGCACATTTTATGCTTATCTAATAGATTGTGTCCCCTATTTAATGAAACATTTTTGTGTATCACCGAACAACTGTATTATCTCTCTTCCTCTTATCATTAATATTTTTCTAGACTCTTTTTTCCCCAGTTTTATTAATATTGACATTTTCCCCCCAACATTGTGCCTTCTTTTTTCCAGTTTCAAGACCAACAGAAAGGGGTGGCAAAGGTTATGTTCCTTCCGTTTTTATCCCCATCTCAACAATGTGAGTAATCTTAGTCACATGTAAAATATTTTTTATAAAAAGCTTTCCTATAAGAGATTTAAAAGTAGAGCAGAGTACACATAACTGAGAGCAAAGCATTGTCATGTGCAATGTCCCATTTCCTTTTATACATAAAGCTAGCCTTTAGGGCACACTTACCACAATCTATTGTGACTAAAATTATAAAATTCCCCTTATAATGCCATATATTCCATAGCAAGTTGAATGTTCTGATATGAAATGATGAATCAGATAACTCAGTGTCACAAATAGATGAAGCCCTAGAAATGAGTTCCTGACACAGTAAGTCACCGTGAGCTATTATTATTTTCTAATCCTTGTCCATATTGACCTTGTTATCTCTTTAAGCCGAAGTGATTCAATGGAGCCACATTCTCCATCAGACCTTCTTCCCATGTCTCCAAGTGTGTATGCGGTGCTGAGAGAAAACCTGAGTCCCACAACAATCGAAACTGCAGTATGTTCCCTTTATTTTCCATTGCTGCTCAAAGGCATTTCCAATGATGCAAAGGTGGTGTGGGGATCAAAGGGGCTGAAATACTGCCTGGGTAGGGAGAAAACACATTTATTGGAACAAATTCATGAGCATGACACAAAAGGTGTCTGGATGGTCCTGCGTGTTGCTGATCTTATGGGTATGGAAAGCAGACACCTTCACTTACTTAAACTGCTTTACATTCTTTCCACCAGAAACCACCAGAGGGCAAAATATTCCTATACCCTACTCAAGCACACTATCCCTACTGGCACCACGGGCCCACTCATTCCCCAACACTCTCTACTTTAGCAAACAGCATTTACTGGTCAATATTTATAAACCTAGTATACTATCTAGTTTACTAGTTACTTACTATCTAGTAAACCCAGTTTGCTATCTTACAGTGCAAACATCACACATTGCAACCTTTCTTGATTATGGCTTGCATTTCTAGAACCAGGAGCTTCATCAAGTAATATATGAATAATGGTCAATAGCATAATAATGCTCTCCTTTTTGAGAACTGAGTCATAATCTTTAATGCAATAATGTTATTTGGGATGAGTCCTATTCGCTCTTATCCACCAATAATGTCAATGGGTTCAAACTCCCAATTTACATGAAAGTGAACATACATCAGAATAATATAATAGAAACTTGGAGGGACCCTAAGCCTCAAAAATTTTTATCTGGCTGGCTTTTAATTCTTCTCTTGAAGATTTCCATAGATGAAAAATTCACTTTCCTTTGATAGCTTATTCCAATGTTAGTTCCCTTAAATCATCAAGTTATTTATGTCTAACTGAACATTTGCTACATTTTGCACCCATTTCCTCATTATATTTTTGGTGGATAAACAGGCCTTTTTCTTAAAACAGTTTTCTGTCTCCTTGAAAGGTACCTTTTATTTTAGACTGATCAACCCCTATTACTTTTGCAAATACTTAGTTTAAGTATTTTAACTAGGTAATAGAAAAATTATGGAGTAATTTGTAGAAAAGAGGATGTTTATTTACACAAGAAATAGTGATTTATTTGCAAACCAATAGTTTCCTCAAAGATTATTTTCATTTTTAATTTTAGATGAAGTCTCCTTATTCTGCTGAATGACGGGATGAACTCTGACACACCAAGAAAGGAAGCAAATGAAAAACTTTAAAGACTGTTCTTTGCCCAACGACCACATTTGATTTCTTCAGCTTTGTAAATACCGGGTTCTGGGAAATGTTTGACGTCTGAAGCTCTCTTCACACTGTCATGGCACTCCCCAGTTGGGAGTGTTGTGATTGAAATGCTTGAAAACAAAGCTTCAGATAAACGTGCAAGATAAGACAACTTTCAGAAACCAGTGTTAATAACAATATTCACAGAAGACTCGCTTGCCTGTGTTTGGTTTATTTCTGATTTGTCTCTCTGGTGTTACTTATGATTTTAGCTAGAAGATGCAAGTGTTAATGTTTCAGGGTGGGTCAAGAATAGCAAAGTCATGCCTACACCTCAGCAAGAAGGCCTGAGGGAAAAGCCAAATAAGCCAATCTACTGTATGATGAGTGCTAGCAGGCACAGTGATCACAGTAGATCCAAGAGGAAAGTCGTCATGCGACATTAGCAGAAATTCACAGGGCATCCAGGGTTGAATTAGGGAGCCTCCTGAGTGCCATGTCAATATTATCCCAACTATGGGATTCAACAGCTGCTGGTACCACAGGAGGAGGGACCCAGAGTCATTCCTGGTGGTATATTGGGCAAACTGCACTGATTTTACAGGTATTGTAAGCAGACACATGGGTTAAAAAAAACTCATGAAATGAGGACTAGGAGGATGAAATGAGGACTAGGAGAATAACAACTCTGGCCTTGGGTGACTGATTTTATTCATAGGTTGCTCATTCTTCATCTCTAGAAGAGGTTAGACTATGTGGGTTCTATGATCTTTCCCAGCTCTAATAGTCTCTCTGGTCCCATGAATCCAACCTGAGACTGGGGAAGGAGGTTTAGGATGAGAAGTTCCATTCCTTCAATTTTCTCTAGTAAAGAGGAAGGGCAGTTGGTTTCCTGGATAGTAATGTATGTGAATTGCAAGTCTGTTTTGGTCCTTGCCTCACCCCTACTGGATGTTGAGTGGTGCCATTGCCCAGCTGCTGTCCTTAGTAATAGCATGGAGCCCTCCAATGCTCAAGACCTTGAGAACTCTCTATGCCTGCTGAGCCCTGGGGATGCTGCTGAGTCAGTTGAGGAAGTAATGCTACTGAGGCATCTGCCATGACCAGCTGCAGAAAAATCCAGAACCAGGTTTCAAGGTGAACCATGACTGCAGAGTCTGAGATGGCAGCCCCCTCTGAAGGGCTCTTATTTAATTCCTTCTGCCCACCTCCTGTCCTCCAGGCAAACCAAACAGGCAGAGGCTAATGTTTAATGCAAAAGAGTTCAAAGGAATAAAAGCTTTTAGTATAACCTGCCCTTTCCCTTAGAGAGATTCCATCTGAGCAATCTCATCCCACCCACATGTGCCCAACTGGCTCCTAGATTGTTCCTATGGAACAAACTCTCCACCTGCCCCAAGGCCAGTTCCTTTACTCTTTCGTGAGCTCCTAAATGCTTTTAGGGTGGAGGCATCTGTTTGATGGAAGGGTGCATCTAACTGGAGGTGCGTCCTCCCAGTCTCTACTTCTCTCCACAAAACCTGGTTTTCTAAAACTGGCCTGATGCATACGTATCAACTGGCAGCAGAACTGGATGAAATAATTTAAACCGGAGCATGACTATTACAGTTTTATCTTTAAAGAAGTAATTTCCTACCAGGAAGTGCTTTTAAACAATTGGATTCTGACAAAAAAGATTGCAGAAGCTCTTTGCTCCCTGGAATTTATCAGAAGTACAATGGACTCCTACCTATTTCATAGAAGTTTTAAAAAGCTTGTCAATATAGAGCCTAGTAGCAGAATGCCAAGGTTTTCTATGTGATCACAGTCATCACTGTTACTTGGGGGTAGAAAATTAAGGACGTCGGTAGTTCACTTTCTATAATATGGACAATGGCCATATTGTAAAAGTTCAATAAGTGGCTATTTTTTTTTAAGATTCAGAAAATCAAAATTAAATTAGTGACCCCAGAGTTAAGAGTTATTTCCCAAGACTGTGAATCTTGTACTCCAAAACTCATTTTTGTGGGAGTGTCTTATTTCATTTTGTGTTGCTATAAAGGAATACTTGAGGCTGGGTAATTCATAAAGAGGTTTATTTGGTTTTGCAGAGTGCACAAGCAGCATGGAAACTGCATCTGCATGTGAGGCCCTTAGGCTGCTTCTACTCATGGCAGAAGGCAAAGGGAAGCCGGTGTATGTAGAAATCACATGGTAAGAAGGGAAGCAAGAGAGAGAGAGTGGGGGAGGTGTCAGGCTTTTTATAACAACCAGCTCTTACAAGAACCAACAGAGTAAGAATTTATTCATGCCCCCCACCATGGGAGGGTATTAATCTATTCATGAGTCCACCCTCATGTCTCAAACACTTGCCATTAGGTCTCACCTCTAACATTGGGATCAAATTTCAACATGTGATTTGGGGAGACAAACATCCAAGCCATAGCATTGCTCCTCTGGCCCCCCCAAAACTCCTGTCTTCCTCATGTTGCAAAATATAATCATCCCTTCTCAATAGTTCCCAAAGTCTTAACTTGTTCCAGCATCAACTTGAAAATCCAAAGTGCCATCTGAAACTCAAGGCGAATTAACTGTAAAATCAAAAACAAATTGTTTCCTTCCAAGATACAATGGTGGTACATGTTTTGGATAAACAGTCCCATCCCAAAAGGGAGAAATCATTCCAAAAAAAAGGAGTAACAGCCCCCATCAAGTCCAAAACCCGGCAGGACAGATGTTAAATTTTAAAGCTCCAAAATAATCCTTGACTCCATGTCTTGCATCCTGGGTACGCTGGTATGAGGAGTGGGCTTCCACGGTCTCAAGCAGCCCTACTCCCAAGGCCACTGGCTGCTCTCACAGGTTGGAGCTGAATGCCCGTGGCTTTTCCAGGCTGAGGTTGCACACTACTGATGACTATAATTCTTGGGTCCTTGCAGCAGCAGCCCCAATCCCATGGCTCCACTAGGCGTTACCCCAGGGAGGACTCTCTGTGTTGGCTCTGCCCCCACAGCAGATTTCTGCCTGGGCATCCAGGCTTTCCTATACATCCTCTGAAATCTAAGTGGAAGCTGCCAAGCCTCCATGACTTTTACATTCTGAGTACCTGCAGACTTAATACTGTGTAGACACCAGCAAGGCTTATGGCTTATGCCTTCCAGAGCTGTGACATGACTCATACCTGGGGCCACTGAGGCCATGTGAGCCATGGCTGTGCCATCTGGAGTGGTGGGGATACAGGAGCAGTCTCTAGGCCTGTCCTCCACCCAAACCATTCTGTCATCCTAGGATTCTGGGCCTGGGATGGTGGGGTCAGCCTCAAAGTTTTCTGAAATGCCTTCAGGGCCTTCTTCTCATCATCTTGACTAATAACACCTGGCTCTGGTTCAGTCACCCTAATCTCTTTGGCAATGGTTGCTCTGTAGCACTCTCAAATTCCTCAAACCCTTGGATTCCTTGCCTAAAAATGCTTTCCTTCTCTATCACATGGCCAGGCTATGAAATTTCCAAATTTTTACACTTTGCTTCCCTTTTAATTATAAATTCCACTTTTTACTCATTCCTTAGCTCCCATAATTTAGCATAGGCTTTTAAAAGTAGCCACGCCACTTCTTGAGTACTTTGCTGCTTAGCAATTTCTTCTGCCAGACACCCCAGGTCATCATTCTTAAGTTCAGCCTTCTACAAAGCCACAGGGCTTGGACACAATGCAGCCAATTTCTTTGCTACTGTTTATCAAGGGCAACCTTTGCTCCAGTTTTCGGTAAGTTCCTCATTTCCATCTGAGACCTCCTCAGGTGACCTTTGTTGTCTGTATTTCTATCAGCACTTAGGTCACAACCACTAAATCGATCTCTTAAGAAGTTCCAGCCGGGCGCAGTGGCTCACACCTGTAATCCCAGCACTTTCGGAGGCCGAGATGGGTGCATCACGAGGTCAGGAGATGGAGACTATCCTGGCCAACATGGTGAAACACTGTCTCTACTAAAAAATACAAAAATTAGCCAGACATGGTGGCCCAAGGCTATAGTCTCAGCTGCTTGGGAGTCTGAGGCAGGAGGATCACTTGAACCCGGGAGGCAGAGGTTGCAGTGAGCCAAAATCGTGCCACTGAACTCTAGCCTGGCAACAGAGCGAGATTCTGTCTGGAAAAAAAAAAAAAAAAGAAGTTCCAAACTTCAGAGTCCTCCAAACTCTTCCAAACCTCTGCGCATTACTCAGTTTCAAGCCACTTTCACATTTGCAAGTATCCTTAATGCAACCCCCAGTCCTCAGTACCGATTTTCTGTCTTAGTCTGTGTTGTGTTACTCTAAAGGAATACCTAAGGCTGGGTAATTTATAAACAATAGAGCTTTATTTTGCTCATGGTTCTGCAGGCTGTACAAGAAGCATGGCACTGGTACCTGCATCTGATGAAGGCCTTAGGCTGCTTCTAGTTATGGAGAAAGGGGAAGGGAAGCTGGGATATGCAGAGATCACATGGTGAGAGAGGAAGCAAGAGGGAGTGGGGAAGGCACCTGGTTTTCTTTAGCAACCAGCACTGTCAGAAACTAATAGAGTAAGAAATCACCTCCCCGACACCCAGAGGGAGTTATCTATTCATGAGAGATCTGCCTCCATGACCCGAACACCTCCCATTAGGTCCCACCTCCAACCTCCAACCTCCAACATTGGGACCGAATTTCGACCTGAGCTTTGGAGGGACAAACATCCAAACCATAAAAGAGGGCAATGAGGTTTTGTCAGGGGAGTCCTGGGATACCTGTTTAGTTCACGATAGGGTGTGCCACATGAGCAGGAAATGCATTGGGAAGGGAATTTGGACCACGTTTTGGCCAAATCCTACCCCAGAATATTTTTTTCTGCCAATAATGACTTAGTCAATTCAGGCTGCTATAACAAAGTACCACAGACTGGGTGGCTTATAAAACAGATTATTTCTCACAGTTCTCAGGGCTGGGAGTCTAAACTCAGGATGCCAGTATGGTCTAGTTCTGGTGAGAGCCCTCTTCCAGGTTGCAGACTGTCAATTTCTCACTGTATCACATGGTAGAAAGACAGCTACAGAGATCTCCAAAGTCTCTTTTATAAGGGCACTAATCCCATTCCTGAGGGCTCAGCTTCATGACTTAATCACCTCCCTGAAGCTCCACCTCCTACTACCATCACTTTGGGGACTAGCAATTCAACATATGAATTTTCAGAGGGGAACACAAACATTCAGTCCATAA